GATTTTTGTAATTTCAGGGTATCTGAGAAGACAGCAATGCTCAGAGGGCCTATTGGAAATTTTATTGGAAACATCATCGTGTCCTGTCCCCTGGGTCTCCAAAAGGAGCTGATTATTTAATATAACATGATTATAATCCATAATGAAATAAACAGAACTTATTTTTTTTCTTATTTGAGACACGATGGGATTGCCTCCACTCCCTAGATCTTCAGAACGTCTTCAGAATACTGCAAAATTTAAGTGATTTATCAGTAAAATATAAGGAAATTTCATATATTTGTAGTGTTTACACGTGGAAAAATGGGATGTGATGGCATTTGGTGGGAAATATCTTTTTATTCTCAAGTAAACGTCGTTTATACCCGAGGAAATGGGTGGGAGGAATGGAATAAATGAGTTTATTAAAATGCTGTTCATTCGCGTTTTTATTTCACATTAAAAAAATAGTTTTTAATTGACATGGATGTTTCTTTGAACTACTTAGGGACTTCATTAGGTAGAAATGGAATGATTGCTTTGAAAATGAATCTATTCACGTATAATAATTCTTTATTTCGATCAAATAAGCTTTCATTTCATTTCAATAGAGGATTTATCTGGAATTAATGAATTGTTCATTTCATCCAATTCAAATGTTTCTGTTGAAATGACTAGAAATTATTAAAATAAAGAGTTTTATTTCATTCAAATGCGTATAATTAATTTAATTTTATGATTTCATAACATTTTCTGTTTTTACTTCTGCAAAAAGTTAATTCCATTTTATAGTAGGGGAAAGTGGGGTAAAATGGGACAGTTTTTGATCTTCTCTAAATCACAATATCTTTATTTATGAATAAAGATATTGACAATTGGAGAAAATCACGAACTGTCCCATTTTACCCCACCCTCTCCTAAACGATGAGTTGAAAAATGGAATTGAATTTTGGGATAATTTGGGAAGAAAAAAGGGTTTACTTAATTAGGCGTTGGGTATTTGTAATTAAAATTATGTTAATAATGATTTATAATTGTAAGGATCAGTATTTGTCTCTCTGACGATAGGGCACTGTGAATTGCATATTTTATTTACATTTTTTCGTCGATCGAAATAATGGGCGCGAATTTTTTATTAATCAATTTTTTTTTTTCAAATCAGTCAACTTTTTGTTTTGAAACAGACTGTATTTAATTTATATTCTAGTCGCCGAAGCTAGCATTGAAAATCGGCCAAAATTGCCCCACTTCACGCTTTCGCTGCAACGCAAACTAAAATCATCAAGATACGAACCGCACGTTCATTTCGTTCCTATACTCCGTGCAATCCAACCAAAGAGGATAAACCTGAGTAGAGGCCCTGATCGGGGGTTTGAGTGACGCCAAGTATAGTTAGTTGGTACCCCAAGGGAAAGGTGGCGTCCCGGTCGAAAAAATAAAAAATCAATTATAAATAATTGGCTGGGGAACAAACGCTGAAAATCCTCGAACAATCAAGAACAATTGACGAACTATCGATTGCATTCGTCAAAAATCAATAATTATGGTAATGAGTGGCTAACTTTGGATGGGTCCGACAACTCGATCCCTATGGCAGCCAGTGAGTTTATTAGAGAGGTACGCAGCGCCTCCGGATAGTAGTCAGCGAACTAAGATTCTCTTTAGTGCGCATGTCCGTGTCTGCTGCAGGTAGTGGGGCAGTGGTAAATTTACTGAGAGCATTGGGAAATATTATAGGATATTTTACCGTGTAGGACATCCAGCATAACAGACGAACTTTTGTTAATAATCAGTGAAAACTGACATTGTCTATAAACGTGAAAGGAAGCCGAAGCATGGAGGAATGTCGAAATTATTACAATTGTTATTAATATTGTATTATTAATGAATTGTATAATCGTTAATAATTGAAAAAATTGAATTTTTAAAAACTACAAAGAATCGCCAAAGAATGTTATTAGATTTTTNCCAGAGAATGTTATAAGATTTTTTTAATCGTAATTTTTTGCTAGATTTAATTAACGTTTTAGTTTTTTCAAAAAATCAATTTTAAAAAATCAGGATTTAACCCACTGCCTTATGTCAAAGTCCATAACTTTGTTGTAGAGAAAGATTGAAATCGGAATTTTTGACTCAAAATATTTAAAAAAATCAAGAAAATTTTTGACACATGATACAACATCAATGACCGTTTTTTAAACAATATCCATTATTTATTTATATAATGGAGATGTTTGAAAAGAAAATAATATGTTGAAAAATGTAATTTGAATGATGCTGTGACTTTATGAGTTTTACCCGTTTGGTAAAACTCAAATTAAAGGATAATTCTTCTGCTAATCTCTCGATTGTTAATCCTTTCCTGGTTC